TTCCTAGAATAGCCATTATGGCTGGGTAAAGGGCTACTGAAATCCCAGAAACCAGAGCACTAGCTGAATAAACATTGCTAATTATTCTGAGTAGGACATCCTTGCATTGCATAAAATTCTTTCCCAAGGCTAGCAAAAGTGAAATAGAATTATGTCTACTGAAGAAAGTATGCAAAACAAAAGAAGGTATACACATTTTCTCAACTCACATAATTCATACAGGTTGCAGAATTCAGTGTTTCCTGGAACAGAAGCCCATTTGCCTGGGCACAGAACTCCAGTGATTTTTAAAAATACAGGAAGAAACTCCCATTCAACTCTAAGGTTTACCAAGTGACCTTGGGTCAGTCATGATCTTTCATTCAAAGCTACCTCAAAGTGGGCTTGTCAGGATTAAACAGGACAGAGTGCCTCCCCCTTTGTAAACTGCCCCTGATCTCCTTGGAGGAAGGATGGGGTACAAAAAACAGTTCATAAGAATAAAAGTAACCTCTCTCCCTTAGATTTAGGGTAGACTACAACTAATTGCTGAGAGACGACACCAAACCAAATCTCCCACATTCAAGTTCAGCTTTGGCTACTAAGTGAAATCAAAATGAAATTAACAAAGAAATAATAACTTCCTAACCCTACAGGCTTAACAAAGCAAAATTAAAGATCCAGTAATTAACAAGTAGGACCCAATCATTATCGAATCAAGGAAGTGCCCAGAAAGGTTGGCCGTCATTATCATGTTGTTATGTTAAGTATTCCCATGTTACATATCAGGGAAAGTGAGGCTGCAAGCAAGTTACTCCAAGAGCTAGCCGGTGAGCTATGATTAATTTCCTGAAACCTACTCCTGTCGGGAGCCTACTCATCCACATCACCAATGGTGACCTGATTCTGCCAACCAGGAAGCCACACTTACATTAATGTGTGTTCACACATAGAGTATTTACTATATACTAGCCAGTGGTTCACACAGAGATAAACAGCATAACCATGACTGTCCTTTCAGTTTCCATATATATTCCCCCTGAATGGTAGCTCAGGGAGATAAAATCCTTAATTTCTAAAATGAGGTGCTGGCAGATACTATTCAATATAGTCTGTGGTATATAAATACTAATATTACTGCTGCTGCTAATAGTAACAGTAATAACAATTTGGCCAGGAATTCTTCTTAACCTGAAAGTATCTTCTCCAACCCCATCCCTATTTTAGATGTTTGGGGGTTGGCTGTGATTACATGTTGGTGAGGAAAATGCATGCTCAAAACACATGTACAAGCTATTCATTTTTTACTTTTCATGTCCTACATATGAGCCCTGGCACAGAGCCTGGGTTAGGTCCTGGCTCAAAGTTATACCTTGGAAAGAAAGAGAAACAAACACTACACAGAACAATGCATTTTAAATTCTTTCTTTCTATTTTTCTCTCAACCAATACAACATAAAGCAGAGCACAAGTATTCTTATTTTACAAACAGGGGAACTGAGGCTAAGAAGGATCAACTTAACCAAAGCCTCTCCCAAGAGTGTGTTTATAATGCACACACACACAAACATGCACACAAACTAACAATATGCCACTCTCACCGTGAGATTCCTGTCCATCTTGGGTCGTGCACGGCACTTCTGCCGAGCCATCACTGCCCCAGCACGGCGCCACCGCCTCTCCCACCATTCAGTGTTGTCGTTTCGCACACTTGTCAACCAGATGCAACGAGGTTCGGGCAAACTGCAGTCCACACCAACAGCTCGCTCGAAATGCCAGCCTTTCCCTGCTCGTGCCACGCTCCAGACTGCTTTGCCCACCACCGAAATGCCATGACGTGGGGAGGATGGAGGGCGTGGGGGCCCTTGTGGCCTACCACCACAGGGAGCCCGATCCCCCCGACTTGCACCTTCTTCTACCATTCTACCCTGAATTGAAAAAAAAATCCTGGTGAAGCTGAAAGCAACAGAGCCGTCAGATCAGAACGAATGTGGATGTATCAGTACAGAGGCTTTCAAGGGGGTTCTCAACTCTTAGTGCCAAGTTGGTTCGGTTCCATGCAGACTCTTTGGACAGTAAAACACAGCTTCTCCTTGACTATTCCCTGAACTTCAGCAGGAAGCCTGCCTGCTTGTATTCTTTTCTTTCCCCCTATTCAAAAAGTCGCTCTCCCTCAAGTCTTTCGTCTCATGTATCACTGGGCAAAATGTTGATTTCCAAGTCCAGACATGCCAGATATCTGTGCGTACGTACACTCAAGAGAACACAGCAACTGGCCTTGGATTACCACGTTCCTCTTCCTACAGCAGGCAGAAACAGAAAGGGAAAAGACCAGAGACTGCACAGAGAAAACTAATTACATGGGTAGAAGTGGAGGAGGAGGAGGAGGAGGAGGAGGAGGCAGCGACAGCAGCAATTCTGCCCGATGGGAATGAGATGGATGCAAATCAGAGAGACAGGGTTGTGACTTGACAGCTAGGCAGACAGAAAGAGAATAGAGCTCCACTCGTTCACGCTGCACAGACAGCCCTGCAGCTGCTCTGAGCTATCAGGCCATCTCTGCCCCACCCCACCCCTCTGTGACCCAGCCCACTCCAGCTGACACCAGCTCAGTGTCCACCATCGGCTGTGCAAGGGATAGCTGCTGGCATTATCCTATGCTAAATCCCTAGTATTCTTCTAAATCACAGCATGAACACACAATTTCCCTCCCTTCCTTCCTTCCTGAACCGACTTGACAGAGTTAGAGGGCTCATCTGTTTGCTTGGGGGGGGGGGGGCAGGTTAAGGGCCAATTTCCCCTTTTTTCTGTTCTCTGCATACCAAGCATTTGAGGAAATTTAGGACTGCTGCATTTTTCAAGAGGAAACTAGAGGCCCGATTTGGTGTGCTCAACATCAAGGTATTGGCCTGCACCTTGCTCCACAGAAGAACCCTTGCTAATAGGACAAGAGGGAAGGGAACAGAGTTTTAGGTACACAGGCTAGAAACTTTTAAAGCCATGGAAACAGACTGAGGTGCCACCAGCATGCACAGCTGTGATATCCCCCCAGGTCTGGCAGATGCCCTGGCCTGTAGATGTCACTGAGTGCACTAGAGTAATTAGGTATGGTCCTAGTAGCCCAACTTGTCCACCAAGTCCATAGGAAGCTGCTGTATACCCAACTCAGACCATGCATACTTTTAGTCCCTCATTGTTGACAGCAACTCTGCAGCATTTCAGGAAGGGCTCTTTCTTAGCCCTACATAGGGATACCAGCCAGGGAATGAACCAGAGGACCTGCACCTATTTACCTGTGCAAGGTAAACCTTTGCCACCAACTAGAGCAGCAGGGCTCTAGATCAGCCTTCCCCAACCTTGTGCCCTTCAGACACATTTGTACTGCAACACCCAGAATTCCTATTCAATGGCTCTGTTGGATGGAAATTCTGGGAGATGCAGTCTAAGTACCTCTGAAGGCCTCCAGGTTGGGGAAGGTTGCTCTAGATGCTTACCTTTTGCATACAAAGGTCAAAGCATGAGATGCTTCTGAATCTAAAATCCACTCAGACCAGAACACATCGAGTATTTGAACCCAATTTGTACTTATTTATGGAACGTGACAACTAGACTGCGCGGTCCTTAAAAAACCCAGGTGATTATGTTTCTACATCATGAAACAATTCAACTCACCTGCAATTCCACTAGCCAGCTTGCTCATCAGACTTTTATTCTCTGGTCCTTTCCACCAACTCTTCTAAACTCACTTTCTCCACTCTCCCTCCTAATTGTCCTTCTCAAGTAACACTCCCCACCTGTCACTCACTCTGACTCCACTCACCATTCCACATCATTCTCACTCTGTTCTGTTGCAATGGCCTTTGGCAGAACAACAGAAATGGGGAACAGGCAGGTTCCTCCTGAAGCAGTTTACAACAGATTGAACTTCCACTGAAGAAATGGCAACACCAAACCTGGTCAACCTTGTGTTACCCATAGCTGTAGCACGGGGTGCTTGTGTGTGGCAACCTCTGACCTGCCTGGCACTAACTCTGCTACCTTCTCGGCACCAGGCATCCAATGGCATATTGAGTGGAGGAGAGGCAGTGCTTTATGTTGTTCTAGTTGTTTTGGAAAAAATGGAAACTGTATGCTATTTTTACTGGGTTGTAACTTCTATGCTTTATTAATTGCTATGAACTCTCCAGAGAGCTTTGGTCATTGGATGACATAAGAATGAAATGAATGAATGAAACCTGATTGTAATGCCATAGTGCTGCATCCTTTAAGTATCCTTGCAAATGCATTAATGGCTTTTCATGCCACCATTCCTGTAAACACAGCAGAGGGATCCCCAGGACAAGCCATGCGAGGCCATAAAGCTGGACATGGAGAACTAACACAGAGAATCAGCTTACTACAGAAAAGGCGACATTAAGACCAACTCAAAAGCTTTTCAGTGGATTTCTGTTCTGTGGTGAGGATAGAAGAGGAGGCCATGGCATTCAAAATAATATTCTAAAAGAATGCATTAAATGCATTATGCACTGTGCTAGCAAAAGGGAGGAAAGCATATAACGTTGGGAATGAGAGAAGAAAACAAAACCAGCTATATAAAGCAGAGGCGTGGGTGGGCAGAAAGTAGATCTATGGATGTTTTACACTTTGGCTTCTAGCATTCTTGACCACTGACCATGCTGGCATGGTCTTCTGGGAGTTAAGGTCTAAAACATCCGGAGATCTCCCTGATCTCAGCCAAGGGAGGTTTGGTAGGGTGGATATTAGCAGATCTGTGGCTTAGAATCCTCCAAAACTACTCTAATTTAATTTGATGCACCACAACAATTAGCATCTTTCTGTTTCCTGCAGAAAGAAAGTGTGTAACCACTGGAAAGAAGAGTGATCTCCAATTGTGAATGTATCTAATACAATACAGGCGAGTGAGCCTTGAGTTATTGTATCACATGAACAACATTCAGTACTATAATGAGAAGCTGGGCAAATGGTGCATCAAGTATGTGGGCTCCACTGATACCATCAATCTCAGGTAAAGAAATCAGCAGACAGAAGACACATACTTGACTTACTTGCAGGTGTGCAAAAGAAGCTTATGAGCATTATGGATCAACTGCACTACAACAGCATTTTGTTTTGGTTTTTTGCAGCAACAGGAAACCTGTAACATTTACACCAACATGAAACTCTTAACCTTCCAGAGGCTTTCCATATCTCAAGGCCCAGCCTTTTCAGAAAGATCATCATAAAGACCTGCCCATTTTTGCTTACATTAAGATGGGAGAGAGCCAGGGATTCTAACCAGAAGTACCATCTGCTTGAGAATCTTCATGGGATATTTTAAGCTAATAATAACCATCTTACCCCAGCCAACTCTGTATTCTTATGGCTTTCCAACTGTTGCAACTCATGCCTGGTTACAACAGTTTGCTCCAAACAGAAAAAGCAGAAGAACATTGTAAAATATATAAATGATCTGTAAACATTTTTGAAAAATGTAATAAAATGGTTTAATAAAATATATTTTGCCCATAATTATTACAAAGGGTTATTGTTATCCACACCCAAGCTTCAAGATGGCAGTCATAAATGAAATAAGTTATGAAGACTCCATAAGGAATGCAAGATGGGAAGAGAAGAAAGCATTTCTATCACCTCATTCAGCATTTTAAGAGGATCAGCAGAAGAAGAGATTTCCTGTGTCCCCTTGTGCCCCTCCTAAGACACATATGGCAATACCAAAGATAGACAGGTGCAAAAAGCCCCCTCAGATGGGTGAAGGCTAGGAAGTGTTTCACTTTTTGATGAAGCTTTAGGCATGTAAGAATACAACTGTCTTTTCCCTACCTTTGCAAACTTTATCCTGCTCTGCCGAGCAGAAAGACACATAAATGGTTATTGCAATATCCTCAGTTCTCGGGACACAGGAATAAGTTAACTCATTCACTGCACCCACTACTGCCTCCTCTGACATCAACACCCATAGGGATGCTACTCTGAGTCTAACAAAGAAATCATAGCACTGCAGGCGGATACAATTCTGTGGAGGCAATCTTGTTTAATGAACTGGAACTAGGTGGCTGTTTGTTTAGGGTGGGGTGCAGTGGAGGGAAGGATGGAAGGAGGGGGGACAAAAAAACAAGATGAGTTTCATGTCAGACACCAACACAGCTTGCGTACTTCTCCTGAATCCTGGAAAGGGGAGGCTTATAAGCTGAAAAGACTCTGCACAAAGAGAGCTTTTGTCACTGCCTTGATGTCTTTTTCCCAGATAAGGTGGTACGTAAATGTTAACTACAGGGCTTAATTTGAGCATGGCAGTGTTTGCTCTTTTTCTTGCAAGGGTTCAGTCAGGACAAATGAGAATTTATAATCAAGAAACACACTGTCCTCCAAGTACATGCAGAATAATGCTCAGTAAAAACTGAAAAGAGGTCTGGTTTACAGCCTGCTGAGGAGGATCCGTAGAGTCAAGTTCTATCAAACCAAATACAAAACAAAAATAAAAGGTTCTACAAAAGCTAGCTGGGCACAGGACTAACTGGCTAGCGCTTTGTGATCTCACAACCTCTCTTCCTATCTCCAACGCTGTTCTTTTCAATTGTGAGAATAAGCAAATGAACATGATCAGTATAAATGATCATGCAGCACTTTCCTTTTTTTTAGAAGAAAGAAAGCAAGAATCCAATCTGCCGAAGCATTGGAAAAAGCAAGGCCAACAGCTGAACTGGTGTTTGATTCACTCCTATCGCTGGTATGCACGTCTGTCATTTCAGTTGTAAAGCCAGGCTCCCCCACAGCTGAGGAATCCACCATGGGCTCTGTTTTTTATTACATCTGGCTTCACCCTGAGTAATTGGAGCTGGCCCCACATATCTGTGATTAACAGTATTGACTTCCAAGACCCAAAGTGCTATCTTCCAGCATGCCAGAGTCCCAACTTGTCTCCTTTTCGTAACAATGACCATGGTGTTCAACACGCTTCATAAACAATTTCCCCATAATCCTTACCATGGTACTGTAAGGATAGGTCAGTGCTACCCCTGCATTACAGCCAAGAGACTAAGGCAGAGAGACAGTCATGGCAGAGGTGAGATCTGAACTGAGCACTTAGAAACATAGAAACAGAGCAAGTCAGAAGGGATCTCACGGGCCATCTAGTCTGACCCCCGGCTCCAATCGGCTCTGCTCATGACATGCCCACCATGTCCATGTCTAGCCTATCTTTGAACACCCTCACTGATGGGGCCTCAACGACCTCTCATGGAAGCCCATTCCACAC